CTGGCATATCATGCATGCTGCAAAGTGAATAATGGTAAACTGGTGAAGCCATGAACGAAATATAATTTTTTTAGTTTTTATCACAAATGGTCTCTGAAAGTGATCTACCACATCAAGATGGTCTCTAAAGTTGAAAATCGTTCAATGTCATCCCTGAATATGATGAGAGTTGCAAAATTGTCCGAATTTCATAAAAAAAAAAAAAAAAAAACTGTTAATGTGATAAAATGGAAAATTATGAGGCCCCCAATTTCAATATTAGGATGCCATGTGAATTTCATTCTTAGGGTCTGTGAGAAATGTGGATTTCAATATTGGACTAAGTACTTCTCATATTTCAAATTAGTTTTATGGTGGAACCCCAACTTTCTTCATTGAATCAGAGCAGCTTGTCCCGAGTGTGAAGCTCAACGGCCACATGTAATCCACATCACCCAATTTGTATTGTTTACGTGCTAGGCTTGAAAATTTGCCACACGTGAGGGGACGTGTTGAGAGTATCAATCCCACATTGCGGAAAGGAGTGACATTGCATGCGCTTATAAGTAATTGGACTACTTTCCATAATACCTATTGGTTTTATGGTGGAACCTCAACTTTCTTCAAGGGAGAAGATGGTGGTGATGATGATGACTTGAATGAAAAAAAAAAAAAAAAATCCTATCCAATTAATATAAGGGTTATTAACTTTGCTTCTCTAATCCACATGGCATCATAATATTGGGGTGGTGTTCACAATGTGCCGTGTCAGCGTACTAACAGATTTTTTAACAAAATTTAGATGAAATGATGACATTGATTTGCAACATCCATCTTCAAGGACGACATCATTAATCAATTTTCAACTTGAAAGACTATCTCAATAAGGTGTGTCAATTTTAGAGACCATCTTTAGGGACGACATTAGATGTTTCTTTACAATTGATAATGGGGAGTGAGAAATCAGAGGTATGATCTCAGGTGTGCATTTTTATCTAACCAACAAACCTCTTGATACAATCAGATGCTGAACAGTAATGTTAATTGCACGCGCATGTTCGGATGCAAAGTAATTGTGTAATTGTTTGATGTGTAGTTGGGACAACTATCTCTAAATCCATAAAATGGGTTTTAATAAACAAAACCCATTCTTTCTAAGCTAAGGTATACCGCTAGATTACTTTTACTTTCGTAGCTTATCATTCTTTCTAATTTTCTTTTATTTAGTTTGTTAACATGATTGAGCACTACTGCTATTGTATGCACCGATTCTGATGATCCATCCAATCTAATGACAACTATCTTATTATGTTAGCAGGGAGCTGCTTAATAATCTAAAAGAAAAACAAAAAACACGGGATAAACAGCCATATATACCCACACCTACGTGCTAGGGTTTGTAGTAGGACCACACAAGACACATTGAGACAGAAGAATTGTAGGGATTGCTTGTGTAGATCATTGATCATTTCTGATTCTGTTCCTCCCTGTACCTTTTGATACTGCTGACAGAAAATATATAGGTGCATACATGGGCTTCCATCTCCAGCAAGTAATTTGAGCATTGATTGCATCACCTGTAGGGATGGATTCGACAGAACTTTTTCGCTGTGTGGGGGTTTTCTCCTTTTGGCTTGGACAAACTTTGTGTTTTCCTTTTATCTGTTTCTTCAATTATTTTGGACGGTAAATTTTGGATGTTTCATTCAAATATTTCACTGTTTGCCGTTATAATGTTGATTCTTGCATAAACTTGCACCTGTTTTAGATTCACAATCTGTGTGTATGTGGGGTGTTTCTCCTTCTCGCATCTACAATCTTTGTGCTTTCCTTTTATCTTAAGCATGCATATAAAATAGTTCAAAGCAGACATCCCTACTCCAATGAGTAGTTGAGTCAGTGGGTGAGACTTTTAATTTTCTCTCTCAATGCCTGGTTAAATTTCATACAGCCGCTCGTTGGGGAGAAAGAGATAAGGAGCAGATTTATCACAGTTCATGGTGTTTGGCGCTAGAAAGTTACGGTGATGCTGAATTCGTTTAATGAAAATCTCGCTTGTTAGGGCTGAAGTAGTCCTAGGGGCAACATTCATGTTGGCTACGGATATTAGCCTATCTGCATCTACATTTCTTCAATCGAAAAAGATGCATAAACTTACTAGTGCTGTTTAGTAAAATATTAAATTTTGAGAAATGTTATCTAGCGGGTTGTTTAGTAACGTAAGATGTTTATAGATGTTATCAAGGCTTTGATTACGAACACATTGATCAATTCCGATTCTCACCAAAATGTTAATATGATTTTAGTTTCATTTCTGACTTTATAAACATTCGTAAGTGTACATAAATCCAAAAGAACATTGCCAAGTGCCAACTATACTTTGAACCTTAAAATGCTTCAACCCTAACATTAAAACGAGGATGCCATTTCATTTTGTTGACTTTATCATGATCTTTTATCCACATATATACTTATATACATACATACATATATATCATATGTGTGTGTGTGTGTGTGTATTTGCTATTTACCAAGTCAATAACATTGAAAAGTGAAAAGACAGCCACACCCGCATCCATCCACATGGGGAATGCATGATGATGCCAAAGACCCAGCGAATCCAACAAAGAGAGACAAACAAGGAAAACCCAGGTGTCAGCGTTGAGCGAAGATCAGGGTTTGGCCAACGCTGGTGACATGTGCAGCAAGAGCAAGCATGTAAAAGCAATAATATTATTCCACATTTAAGGCTTTGCGTGTAATCGTTGTTGTTGTTGAAAATTGAATACAGAAAGGAGATCGAAGCAGAAGAAAAGAAAAGTAACAAATATACTGCTCCACTTCCATCCATTTATTTTTGCCCTAAAATTCCTTTCCCAACCCTCAGGTTCCTACCTATCTCATTTTTAAGAACTTACATGAAATAGATATACTACAGTCAGGATATTTCGTACTAATTATACAGTGTCATGTGTAAATTTTTTTTCAATAACATTGTATAATTAATTAACAAGAAACGTCACAATAATTGTATACTTGTGCCATGCAAGGTTCTCTCCTCCTCCCTCCTACTTCCTAATTCATTCATTACTGCTGGTTGATGCTTCTCTTATCTTCTTGTTTTTCTTTTGTTTCCTCTGCTGATTGAATTTCTAGCTCTTTCATATCACAATTGGCCTGCAGAACCGGTACACATTTATTATGCATTTGCACTATTGATTTCACATACAAGTGCAATTTTTATTTACTTATAGCAGCAGGATCAACAGTCTTTCTCTTGTACTTGTGTACTTTTTTAGTTCTGTTTCAATTATTAAGTGGCATCCTGTAGTAACTTTGAAAGAAATATGTCCAGAAAACACCTTATTCTTTAATCTCCTGTGAAACACCTTGTTCTTTAATCTCCTGCATGAATTATTAGTAGTACCACCACAGGAATTATTCATATGGCTCATTTTAGAATAATGAGTAGTTAGTTGAACACCAATCATCGATTGTTTAATTTCTAATTTTTCAACAACCGTAAAATATAGAATGTCTTGAGTATACAGGTGGCCTAATTAGGTAATTAAATCTTGTATTTAGTAGATATTACCGTGTCCATCACACAGTCACGCTATGCTTAATCTTCTTTTTATAATGACACGTGTACATGCTTATAAAAACTGTAATTTAAGTTCATATAACAACAATATCAAAGTACTAGGCAGTGTGAAAGACAAACCCTAATGTTCCAATTCTTAAGCCACAACACTTATAGAGTTCTATTTTTCAGTAAATGGAGGGTTAGAAGTAAGAGGTAAAGATATTTTCCAAGTCTTTCGTACAAACACACTGACATTTCTTGTGGCGGTGCGTGGGGCTCAACTAGCTACGTTACCTCTCATGAGTTTTGTAAAGAAAAAAGCATGGGGTAGCATTTTCTACTTTGACAGCACGGTGAAGCCTTCAACTGTTTTTCCAAAGAAATCAACACTTTGGGAAATATGCATAGATCTAATGTGGAAAACACACTTGATTGAAACCACTAAAAGTAAGAGGAATAGAAGGAGAGATCGGGAGAAGAGGCTTTGTTTTATGTGTCCCCTTGAATCCTGGTGAAGCCTTCTCCTGTTTCTGCTGCTATTGAAATTTTTATTATTTTTTCTCAAGATGCCAATCGTGCAATTGATCATGTATTAGCAGGGGTCCACCAAGTATTACCCGGTGAAAATGCACAAATAGAAATCCATTAAAAACACTTTGCTGCAAGAATTTTGACGATCCATATATGTAAAGAGGTATTAGGAGGTATCCTATATCAATGGGTTAGTCTATACTAATAACAATTAATATTATTATGTATTTTAGCTGTAAGTATTATTATGTAACCTTGGGCAGTTAACTTCGACAATATATGTAACGTTACATTGCTTGTAAGTCAACCATTGAATGTTTACGTTATGTGTACACTATAAAAAATGAATATAGGGAGTTTAAAAATGAATAACGACGACGTCCTCATCCTTTAAAAATGCATAAACCGTATATAGATTTTTTAAATAAAAAGAATTCTTTAAATATGAGTTTCTTATTGCGTATATAATTCACAAACGGATGCATGACAACTAGCTGCTAGGAGGATAATTCGTCAAGACCTGAAAGAAAGCCATGCTCCTACTGACAGTCCTACTACTCCTACCACGAATGAAAGATATTATCTTCCAAACCCTAGAAAGATTCTTCCCTGCACGGAAACTGATTAATTCATTATTGATAATGAACAGTGAATACGGTTAATTTCCAAACTTTATATAACGAGGTTTCAAATTTCCATATTTGCAATCCAATTATTTTCAGGGAGGAAGCAACTTGTATTTTCAGCTCCCCAAATCCCAAGCTTTGTTTAGTTTTCCAAACAAAGCAAATTGTGGTATGTGACTACAAAGCTAGGGTTTGAGTAGATGATAGGGGTTGAGATTAGAAACTCCATGTTCAATTTGTGTGTGCATCTTTATTAGGAAATTATTGCTAAGGAATCTATTTGTTCTTGGCCTTTTGGCTAAGATCAAGTGTAGTATCTGTTCTTATTAGTTTAATATTTGATAGGAGAGCCAATAGTTTACACAATATCAAATTAATTTCTTTAAGGGAAGAGTTTGTTACAGTAGCTTGCTGCTGGGGCTCTCGTGCGTCGCCTTTGCGTTGCACTACTGCATTGGCCTGGTGCACCCTCAAAAAAAAAAAAGGAAAAAAAATAATGTTATTCCATGAATATTAACTGTGAATTAATTAACTAGATATGACCGACCCCTTTCAACATAATGGTTTCAAAGAAATAAATTAGCGACTCACTACTAATTACATTAACAATTATTTTTAATTTTTGTCTTACCACCTACTACTAATACATCAAGTACAAGATCTAATAACAAAAAGTCTCAATTTTATTAAGCGTTTAATCATTCTTTACCATGCGACAACAAAATAAAAAAAATATTTAATTATTTTGTCAATTTCTTACATGGAATTCTTTGTGCATTCTTCAACATAAACAATAGCTAGCTAGTTTAGCAGCTATACTTTGGAGCATGGGTGTTTATTTAATAATCCAACCGACTAAACTGACTTCCCAAGTCAACGATTGATTCCCCTTGACCCAGAATCAATTTGGACAATGTACGGTTTGAGAAACAGTATTTTCCACCATTTCACATGTCCTTTATCTATTAATACAGAACATATGTTCAAACATTTGAATCTTTGATTAATTATAGATGAACATAGTGTTACATTTTTTTTTAAAGGGATCAGCCCGTGGCTTAGTCATGGCAGTCCACCATTCTAGAGGCCGAAAAAACTCATACAGATATTTTAGCCTCCTCCTAACTACTATCGTGTGAGTCACTAGCGCCAAATTGTTAATCTATTGGTGAATTTAATCAAATGAATTTTATTTTATGATTAAGCACCTTAACCCCCCTTACCTCTTAGTGTCATTCCAAATTGATCTCAACCTTTTTAAACATTCCAAACAAGTGCCCAAGCTATTGAAAATGTCACATCCATTAAGCTCATATTAATTTTTTGTTAAATTAACTAGGGCTTACTTTGTCTCCAACATCAATAGAAGGTCATGGAAGCATAGCTTTCACCAAGTAACGATCACCATCACCGCTTCAAGCCATCACCTCCAAACACAACACAAGACTGCAAACTCCGCCTTACAATTCAAGCTGTCAACATTGAGAAAAATATCATGGAAGTTATTGAAATGGTATGGATTGCCATGATGTGACCACCACCTTTATTGCCTACAAAGACGAATTGGACGCTTTACTAGCCGAAAATTGGTGAACGAGGAAATCACATGAGCAAGAATAATCTCCGTGAAACCATATCTGAATTCTTAACCTTCTTCTTTGTTAGGAGATTTTGCAATCTTCATTTTTGTTTCCCCTTTTATTTGTGAAGTTGTTTACTTATTTTTATTTTTTCATCTTCATGTCTTTTTTGTAAGTTATTTTTTTAGTGTCCAAGTAAGCAAATGAGTAGGACCCATTGTTGCCACACGTACATTTGATGAAAAAAAATTAACTGAGACTTAACGGATGTGACATTTTCAATAGTTAGGCACTTGTTTACAATATTTAAAAAGGTTAAGACCAATTTAGAATAACACTAAAATTAGACATACTGCCAAATATCTAATAAAAAGAATCAAGCATCCTGTAATAATACTTTTAACTTTCTAAGTATGTTGTGGATGTCCCACCATTGTTGGATGGAGTACTCAATGTGATCAACAATATTAATATCATAGAGAGAGACATCTTGTAAATTGTTGTTGCAGAGAGAAACAGATTACTAACACACACACACACACATATATATTGTTGGACATATTACTCCATGTAGGCTGCAATATGGAGGTGTACAATTAAAATATCATAATAACTCACTGCAGGTATCTAATATATATTAGACTCAGCCGGAATTGATTTGTTAGGAACAAGAACATTGGGCTTGTTAGTAATATGCAAGTACTATATATATCATACAGTTTTTATTAAACAATAAAAAAAGAAGAAGTTAAGAACAGAAAAATAAGTTTATGCAATAATTGTACGTAAGAGAGGGTAATGTAGTGTACAGTGACACTGTTACTGACTAATGCAAGCATTTCAGTTTCTGGTAGATAATCCTCCTCATGGAAGGCTGCTCCCAACAGCATAACACATGATGAGATCACATCTTATTAAAAACCCTTCCTAGATCAGTGGATTTGGTCATGATATATATCTCTTTCTCTTGCTTCTTACTTTTCATATTCATTTTTCATATCGATTGTGGAGCGAACTTGGACGAGTGGTTAACATCGTAATTGATCATGATAATCTCTCTTTTAACAATGATCAGAAATTGAAATGTTATATCTCTTGAAACCCTTGTGAGCTAGGCTCCAGGTTTCCAGAGGTTGTAATTAATTTCTTACACATCTGTTTAATAAAAAAAAAAAATATATATATATATATATATATTAATTTGTGTGTCGGAGAGGAGAGGGAGAGGAGGGGGGAGAGACCAGTTTCCCCAAATATACCTGGTATCACAGTTTGCTGCTGCTACTTATTGCCACTGCTATATATGACTGCGCCAGCAGATCACAAGTTATTGAAGAAAGCAGCAGCTAGCTACCTAAGCTCAAAGCTCATCTGATCAATCAGAATATATAATTGGTGATCATTTGTGTTGAAGATCTCATCACCAACGAGTGAATGCTCATGGGCTCATTCAATTCTTCCCATATCCAACAACAACAACAAGAAGATCAACTAAACCACCCAAACAACAACATCTCAGATCTACAACTATATCACCACCACCTCCACCACCATCACATTTCTGATCAGCCTCCGTTGATTATGTCAACGTCACCAAGCATTTCACCAACCCACCTCCGCCACTTACTCATTACCTGCGCCGAGCTCATTTCCCACCTCGATTTCCCTTCAGCCCACCGCCTCATTTCTCTCTTATCCTCAAACTCCTCCCCCTTCGGAGACTCCACTGAAAGACTAACCCACCATTTTGTAAAAGCCCTCTGTTTCCGCCTCAATATAAACCCTAATTACTCTCCCACTACTATTGGCCCACTGACAGCTCTCACAAATGCGGCCAGTGCGTCCGCATCCTCCTCCTCCAACTACTTGTTTTTGCCAGTGTTACAGGAGGAGGAGGACAACAACGAGGAGGCACTCCACTCGTGTTACCTAACCCTAAACCAGATAACCCCATTCATCCGGTTTAGCCACTTGACGGCCAATCAAGCCATCCTCGAAGCCATAGACGCATCTCATCTCTCAATCCACATCCTCGACTTCGACATCATGCACGGCGTCCAGTGGCCCCCACTTATGCAGGCCCTTGTCGAGCGGTCCTACAACTCCCCACTCCACCCGCCCCCCACGCTTCGAATCACCGCCACCGGCCGCGACCTCACCCTCCTCCTCAGGACCGGCGAGCGTCTCTTGAGATTCGCTCAGTCACTCGGCCTCGCCTTCCAATTCCACCCCCTCGTCCTAAACAACACATCCCAGCCGTCGGACTTAATCTCCCCCTCAACCCTCGGCCTCCACCAAAACGAAGTCCTAGCCGTCAACTGCGTCCTCTACCTGCACACCCTAGTCACGGACGACTCACGTGACCTCTTCCTCTTCCTCCAGAAGATCAAGTCATTAAACCCAAAAGTTTTCACCATCGCCAATAAAGAAGCCAACCACAACAACCATCTCTTCTTCAACCGGTTCGTGGAGGCTCTAGACCACTACGGCGCCGTCTTCGATTCCCTCGAGGCGACGCTGCCGCCCAACAGCCGGGAAAGGCTGGTGGTTGAGGAGTGGTTCGGGAGGGAGATTAAGGACGTTGTGGGAATCGAAGGAGAGAAGAGGAAGCAGCGGCATGAAAGTTACGAGACGTTTTGGGAGGTGGTGCTGCGGAGGGCGGGTTTCGAGAATGTACCGTTGAGTCCATTTGCGCTTTCGCAGGCGAAGCTTCTGCTGCGGCTTCATTATCCTTCTGAGGGTTACCAGCTGAGGATTTTCAATGACTCTTTTTTCTTAGGTTGGCAGAATCGTCCCCTTTTCTCTGTTTCTTCTTGGCACTAATTACAAGTATATATATGTATCTAATTGACTCTTCAGCTCTATTGATAGCTAGGTTTGAGCTTTCATGTCTTGTTTCATCTCGTCTTATATATATATATATATTTATATATAGAGAAATATATGTATAAAAAGCTGCATTTAAGAAGCAAGAGCTGCCATTAAAGTGTTTTCAAGAACTCACTCAATTGTACTACTCATAGAGAAGAGTACTATTTCTTTCTCTGTTTTTCTTCTGCCATGTATCTCTCTAAACATTCCTAAGAATCCTACTAGTTACTCAGCTGATCAGTCTTAAGCATACATGCAATAAGTAGGGTGGATCTCTGTGGACGTTGCAAGTGAAATGAAGACACAGCTAGAGGGAGCTCCTGATCAACTAGCTTTTCCAATATCACAGTTTGTTCTTTCGTTAGAGACTGAAATTGATCTTGAATTATTGTGTGATATGAATCTCATAAATATTGGTTTTGTTTAATTTATTATTTGTTTTTGTGATTTTATCCCCTTATTAATTAAGATCCTATTTTTTTTATGTCTAATTATTTAATTAACTGTAATTCTGTAACCAATTCCTCTTCGGCCATTAATTTGGAAGCAAACAAAGGCTTAACTGGAGCATGTCTAATTCTTACCTTTTATTGACTTTTGTAATATGTTAATTAGTTTCAATATCTGAACTGCTTTAAGCATCATTTTCTTCTAGAGGGTTGCTTGTCTCCTTGTATATATACCTATATAGCTAATTTGTATATGCTACTTAGTTAGATGCTTTCTTATTACTGCTAATTAATAGAAAAATGCTATGGAGATTACCTTTTCCTACTATATTTATGTATTATATTATTATGTGGCAAGGCCGTGCCAAAGCATAGATGTCACATAAATTAATCAATATATCTCGATGGATATTGGTTGCATACATCACTTATTACATTAGTGTGGTATAAAAATGTGATCTTTCTAACATTATTCTAATTAATTATGTGCTTCACTTTTGGATGAAATGACAAATACTTTGATTTAATTACTGATTAGTTATCTATTATGCAATTTCACCTGGACGAGAGATT